TTCTTTCTGCTTTATTAAAGGATGCTTTGGGGGAGAGGGGACATTGAGAAGAGAAAAATCAGAATGCTGTAATTCTGTTAAACAGCGCACCCTTGTGGTTTACTTTCTAAACAATAAAAACTACAGGATAAGAATGTACCCAATATTCTCTATGGACCTGGAAATTATTTAGTCATTTTTTTCCTAGTTATATTTTTCTTAGCCTGCCATTATTTTCAATTATCAAATAGGTATAATGATAATGACTACATTTGATTTAAATATAAAACAAGCAAGCAGTAAAATAAATAAAATTCACCCATAAACTTATAGTTCTGCTAAATTTCTTGAATATTTACATCTGGCTATATAAATAACTTCAATTCAAAAGTCAACTAAATTTATATGCATTATATAATATAGATCACATTTTCATTACTAGTCCTTAATCATTCAATACAACCTTGCCAAAATTCTGGCTTTTTTGTAAAACCTTAAGAAAAATATTGCCTAGAATTACCTGGGCCAATTTACTATAAAGAAAATATAAGCAATTTTTAAGTAAGCTAAGTAAAATACTAAAATTTAGTGATATTATGTGCGACAGACATTCTCGCTGTATATACTATACCCAGTTGTGTGGAAGCAATGCTAAAAGTTTACTTATAGATTTTATTTTGCTGGGGAACACAATTCCTGCCCTCTAGTTGGGAAAGAGGAAAGGAAGAAAATTAACAAGGTTAAAAGCTTTAAACAATAACATACCCCTAATGTTTACCTTTAGAGGATGGGGTACTCACGCCATCCCATATTATGTCATATATGTCAATGAAATATTATGCAGCCTTTGAAATGAGGAACCACCTTATGAACTGATTGATACATATCCAAAATACACCATTCAGTACCAAAAGGTGAGTTATAACATAGTGCATAGTATATGAATACATACACAATGAAATGTTATTCACCCATGAGGAAGAAGGAAATCCTGCTATTATGACAACATAAATGGATCTTGAGGACAACAGAAAATGAAATAAGCCAGACAGTAAGTGGCAAATAGTGCAAGGTGATATTTGTAAGTGGAATCTAAAAAAGTGAAACTCATAGAAACAGATACTGGAAAAGGTTGCCAGGGGGGTGGAGGAAATAGGGAGAGGGTGCGATGGGACAGACTTTCAGCTGTAAGAGGAATAAGATTTAAGGATCTAATGTAAAAATGATGACTATAGTTGATAACACTTAACTGAAATTTGCTAAAAGACTAGGACGTAAGTACACTTAGAGAGAGAAATGGGAGAGATGTGAGGTAGTGAATGTACAACTAGATGGTGGGAATTCTTTCACAATGTATACCTATTTCAAATCACTGTGATGCACATTTTAAACAAGCTTACAATTTTATTTGTCAATTATGCCTCAATAAAGCTGAAAAGAAAGGAAAAAAAAAACAAAGAAAGAAAAAGCAAAGAAACAAAGAAAGAATAGACCCCCTTCCCTCAAATTGTGATCAGTTTATAGACAACCTTGAACGCCCAAACGTAACAGCCAGCTATCCAAGTCTTGAACTGTGAAGTGCTAATTACAAAATATAAAAGTAGCAACTTGTCACATTCTTTTATTATGAAATCAAGACGTGGAAGACAAGTTAAGTACTGATCTTCTCCTTACCCTCTGCCTGGGTTTCTCTAGGATCAGATTTCAGGAGAGAGAATGAGAATGAGGGACAAGTAGATATGATGGAGAGAGATTGAGGGAAGGATTGCTCACTAATTGGATATGAAAAGAAAAAAAAAATAATGAACGATAAAGATAATCTTGAGCTCTTCAATATGGGACAAAAAAAAGAGAGTTTGATTTCCAATATTCTGATTTCCAGGTAGTGATGAGTCAAGAAGCAGCCATGAGTTTAAACTGCAACAGGAAAAATGTTGGAATTGGAATTACAAAGTTGATGTATTAGTTTCTTAGGGCTGTCATAACACATTACCATGACTGGGTGGCTTAAAATGACAAAAATTATTCTTTCACAGTTCTCGAAGCCAGAAGTCTGAAATCACAGTGTTAGCAGGGTCATAACCCTCTGAGAGCATTAAGGGATAACCCTTTCATGCCTCATCCAGCCTCTGGTGGCTCCTGCCATTGTTTGGAGCCTCCATTGTCACATGACCTTTTCCTCTATGTCTTTGTGCCTGTGTCTTCTTCTCAGGACACCAATATTGGATTTGGACTCAATCTAAATCTAGGATGCTCTAATTAATAGAGCCTTAACTTGATTACATATGCAAACACTATTTCTAAGTAAGGTCACATTCACAGGGCACTGAAAGTTAGGACTGGGGTATATCTTTTGCGGGGACATTATCCAAGCCATTACAGTTAATAACTCAACAAAGAGCAGATGTCGTCTCTGAAAGAGTATAGTAAATATAGGCTAACACCATGGACTCAGATAATTCCAAATTTAGAAAATGGGTAAAGAACAAATACATTAAAAGAGAGCTGAGTTATCAAAAGAGAATCAAGACCAAAGAAGAAGAAAAAAAATCAAGACCCAGAGCTCATCAATTATATCTAATATGGCCAAGAAGTTAAAAAAGAAAAAAAAAAAAAAAGGTGTTGAGATACCTAAATAGGCATGAATTCACATGAACAGAAGTGTCACACAGACACAGGCACTCACAAATAAAACCAAAGCTTGTTAATAATTTATAATGAATAAATTTAAAGAAAGGTTAAGCACCAATCTTATTCAGCTTTTCTAGGGAAAAATAAATAATCCTCAGTCCTAGTAACAATGCATAGAAGAACTACCCAGATCAAAAGGAAAAAGGAATTAGAAAATTTATGTATAAAGATATCTAGTTTGCCAAACACAATATACTAAAAAAGAAAAGATTACTTAACATGGGGGCATCAACTGGTCATAGAGCAGAGGGTGTGGATCAAAAGAAATCACTTTTGGTGCAGACACTGGTAGCGCAGCCTGGAATTTTAAAAAGCAGACTATTAGAAAGACCTCTTTGGTCTCCAACCACATGGGAAGTTTACTGGAATAGATTGGATGAGGACAGCTGGAATAAAGACTTGTGAGGAGCAGCTAAGATTTATTTCTCTATAAAGAAAATGACAGACTTTAGTAGTTACTCCAGGGTATCATTATTTATTCTCCTATAATGTAGTTTTGGGGTAGTCAAAAATAGAAAATAATCCTGAAAATGTTGCATTTTAACTGACTTACTAAGAGAAAGTGTAAAGGAGTTACAGCTACAAAAGGAGGCTGTTGGCGACCCTGAAGGGGCCCCTGCTTATCTAACTCAGTTTTTATGTTTCTGGCTCCTGCCCAGATCTGCTATCGGCTTCACACTCTGCATCTCTGGGTGGGGTTTCTCTTGCCTGACGAATGCACTCCCACACATATCTTAAGACTGAACCCAAGAATCACCTCTTCTGTGACACTTCACCTCACTACCAAGCAGTCACCCTGGAAAGCTTGTTAGTAAATGATTATACCCTTTAAAAAGATAAGTATTCTTCTGATTTGATAATATTTTATACCATAATCATTAGACAAGATTATCTTAATAGAAACAAAAATAATAGCTTACTAAATGATTTTCCAAGTAACTATTGGGTTTAAGCATATTTTGTCCTTTTCTATTTGAGTAGCTATTTACTTTCTAAAGACATCTATGATAAATTACAATTAAAATATACAGTTAACTCTTTTGTGTTTAAGTTAAAGAAGCACAGAAATATTCATTAGTGTGTTGGGAAGAGTAAAATTACCTCAGTATTGAATTGACTTAGCTTCCAAGGTGGAAATCAAACCCCTCACTTAAACACAGAGAAACATCTCAGTATCTCAAATATCTCAACATAAAACCCACCCTTAAAGTCACTTAAATCATTTGTCTGATTCAGAGAAACAAAATATATGGCCTCATGTTCAATCATGTTTACTTAAAACCTGGTTTATTGTCCACCTGAATAAAGTAAGGAAAGTACAGATTTTATGGACATGAAAAGTAATTTTGCAAATGGATTTTCACAAAACAGCATACTCCAGGAAATTGTGGGATTAAAAAGGAGCAATAATTAGAAATTTTTGGGAAAAAGTATACCTAGAACAGTGCTTTCAACATAAAAATGTATAAAATGAACTGCAATACATTTTGTGTAAAAATATATATTTTTAAATTATAGAGTATCTATGTACCAGGAAGATGCAAGTATATCTCCCTGAGGCTCTCTGAGTAAAGTAAAAAACATATATCCAATTAGAAACTCACAAAAGTGACACAAAGATTGTGTTGCTATTAAAAGAAAAATATTCAAAAATGAATATTTCCATTCCTAATAGATACAAGCAAAAGCCTCTACTTATTCCTTAAGATTATAGACCATCACTTTATGGGTTATAGATGACTTATTTTCTTGAATGTGAAAACTACTTTAAATGGATATATTTACTCTTTGAAAAAAATATTTTTTATTGATTTCAGAGAAGGGAGGAGAGATAGAAACATCAATGATGAAAGAAAATCATTGATCAGCTACTTCCTGAATGCCCCTTACTGAGAATTCAGCCTGGGCATCTGCTCTGACAATGAATCAAACTTTGATCTCCTGTTTCACAGGTCAACAACCACTGGGCAATATATTTATTCTTTACTATAGCAGAGAACTGTATATATCTAGAGAACCTCTTCCTAGCGTTAATCTATTACTGACTACTTATTCACCTTACTACCTATTAGTAACTGTTACTACCTATTAGTAACCGCCTTACTACCTATTAGTAACTACCTATTAGTAACTATAGCAGAGAACTGTATATATCCAGAGAACCTCTTCCCAGCGTTAATCTATTACTGACTACTTATTCACCTTACTACCTATTAGTAACTGTTACTAACCTTACTAGTAGCCTATGTGGAAAAGGACAAGGAGGTAAGAAGAAAAACAGATGGTCCTGTGCCCTATCCTAAAACAAAACAAAACAAAGAATTCTGTACCTTATCTGTTTCATCCGCACTCATGGATTTCATGACCCCTTGAGCTGGCCTCTCCTGGATGTGAGCGAGGTTCTGAGGGACGCTCTGAGAGGCTGACATCGGAGGCAACGGAGCCCGTCTCTTCTTGGGTGCATCCGACGGCAAGGTGTTGGAAATGTATGTCTTGGAAATGGTATTGGACCTCGTAAAAGTTGGACGATTATTACTCACTAGAGGGGTTGCTGGTGCACTTGCAGTCTAATAAAGAAGGAAAAGGCAAAATGTCTATGTAAATTCAAGATAAAAAAGCACATATGATTAAAAAACAGATGAGAAGATTCTTATAAAATGATAAATAAGGAACCACTTACTTGATCCCGCTTTTTCTTACTGCGCTGAAAAAAGCTGAAAAACTTTTTATTTTCTTTTTCCTTCATAATGTCGAAGTTTGGCGATATTTGGCAGGACTCTAAAATAGAAAAAAAGGACCTTTTTGTACATCATACGTTCATTTCCAAGGTTTCTCACAATTACTTGCCTTTGAAAAATGTGTCTTGTTATAAAAGCTACCCTTTATGGTCCACTATGAACCATGCACTCTGCTAGGCACCTTATATCTTATTCCATTCTCAAAGTCATAGGTAAATTTAGTATTATTGTTTCTATTTCACAGCAGAAGAAACTGAAGCTTTCTTACTCGGGGTGAATAACCAAAAAATTACAGAGCTATGACAAATGCAATTCTTTGCAACTCAGAAGTCTGTGTTCCACAAACAATTACCAACATTTCAAAGAACAAAGCTTTGAATTAAATGAGACATCAAATTTCTATATACAGTTTGTCCCTTTGTTTATTTTGAGCTATATTTTTGTGTCAGAGCTAAGCTATGATAAAATATTTTATTCCCTAAAACATGATTCATTATAGTTTCTTAGTACTTTATTATATGTTTCATAAATGATATTCCTTTAATCCAATAGTTCTAAACTAGGGGTGATTCCCTTGCACACCCCAGAAGACATCTGACAATTTGGGGGACAATTCTGGTTGTCACAATGAAGGGTTAGGATGAGGAGAATGTGTTATTGGTATCTTCTGGGTAGAGACCAATGATGCTGATAAACATACTACAATGTCCAAGACAGCCCCTCAACAACAAAGAATTATCTGATCCCAAATGTCAATTATAGCAGGAATAAGAAATCACTTTAATTATAATGACAAATTTGAAGCCTCAAGGTCACATATGTAATACTTCACTAGCCAAAAAGTATTTCTGAATGTTAAGAGCCTACAAACAGACAAGTCCAACAGTGCTAAGTCACCTGGCCCAGATTGTCTTTCCACCATTTCCCATTAAAGGAAACTAGGATTGCTTAAGAATGACTGCTTATTTGTTGATATCAAAGATAAACCTGCCGAAACCGGTTTGGCTCAGTGGATAGAGCGTCGGCCTTCGGACTGAAAGGTCCCGGATTCGATTCCAGTCAAGGGCATGTACCTTGGTTGTGGGCACATCCCCAGTAGGAGGTGTGCAAGAGGCAGCTTGGTCGATGATTCTCTCTCATCGATGTTTCTAACTCTCTATCCCTCTCCCTTCCTCTCTGTAAAAAAATCAATAAAATAAAAAAAATTTAAAAAAAGATAAACCTGTAATATCTAGTCATACCAGAGAGAAAGCAATCAAAATCTACTGGGTTGGTTTTAAAGAACTCAAGGACCAATATCATATGGCTTCTATTGGCAAGAGTCCAGACAATTTGAGTGTCTTAAGAATAACTCAACACCCTGGCCAGTGGGGCTAAGTTGCTTGAGTGTTGTCTTGTGCACCAAAAGGTTGCCAGTTCGATTCCTGGTCAGGGCACATGCCCAGGTTTTGGGTTTTGTCCCTGGTCTGGGAACATGGGAGGCCACCAACCGATTGATATTTCTTTCTCTCCCTCTTGCTTCCTCTCTCTCTCTCTCTCTCTCAAATCAATAAAAACATATATTATTTAAAAAAAATAGCTCAATAAACTGAAACATAACACATATATTTAATTGTATGCATTCATAGTGATACGAAAAAAGAATAATTGGTTCTCATTATTCATCTTTATAGGTAACCATTATTTTAAAAATTAATGAAGGGAAAGAATCACACTTTCCTGACTTTTTTGAATGAAAGACAAACAGCTGACATGGGAAAATTTTCCTTTTTAGAAATATCTCAACTAATAATTAATGTTTGCAATAGATAATGACCATTTTTTTCAAATCTAAATTAACTACAATATAGCAATAATTATCTATGGCTAACATTAAAAAAAAAAAGATAACTTGTCAATATATGTCTACAAATGGAACTACACAATACCACCCATGAAATATTCTTACCAAAAGTATCTCAACAAGATTCTAGATTTAACTATCAATTTATAGGAAATATGATAGGAAAACACGTGAAGTGGCATCACAGGACACAATTAGCAACAATCTGAATGTGGAAAATTCTCTAAGACAAATGACTTGGTTTATTCAATAAACAAATTTAAAAAATATTTTAATAGATAAGGAGTGGAGATCTGTAAATTTTCAAAAGCATCTCTACTAAGAAACTTATGGGCTTTATGGCAAATCACAGTGTAATCTCAGTGACATAGGAAACAAAGTATTATATCTAAAAACTGGTGGGATGTAGGTAAAGAAGCAGTTAGGAGCAAATATATAGCTTTAATTACAATCTTAAATATTTACCTATTATTTAGGGGTAAATGTATAATATTTTTACTTTAAAAGGAATGTTTAAAAATTAAATTATGATGAAGTAGCGTCTATCCCAGAAAAGCAATAACTACTAATAAATTAATGCAATATGCCTTATTAACAAAATAAAACTTTATAAATCTGATGCTTCAAATATTAAATAAGTGATATGCATTTGATACCATAAGTTTATTGACAATGCTAACAACTAATAGTAATGAATACGTGGATAGCACACCATGATTAAAGATTTTTTTACATGCCTAATTTATTTCTTGGAACAATTCTGTGAGATAGGTATCATAAGTTATCATTCTGAACCCCTTTTCTAAGTTGTGGGATGTAAAGAATAGAAACAGGTAGTATCACCCCATTATATATCTGTGGACCTAGGTGACTGGAGAGTTTGAATAATGTCCAAAACACATGGATATTAAATGGTACAACTGAAACTGATTTAAAGAACATTTATAATACCTCTAGCTTCCCCCCTCCAAAGGAATGCTACTATTTTATTTTAAGATAGAATCCTCCACTAACTATGTAAATACACAATGAAATTTAGTTGGAAAAGTAGATAGAAAGTTCACATGCTAGTACAGTGCAATAAATATAACCACATCATTTCATATAGTTATTTTTTTTTTAAAGCAGTTTCCAGGTGCCCATTCATCTCTACACCAGTTACCCCCTACATTTTCACTTAACGCTCTATGCCAGGGATCACTACAAGTCACAGTTAAACACAAAGGCAAACAAGGGCTTGAGCTTCTTAGAAAGCAACTCAAATACTGCGGTTTCCTGTTTCCAGAAGAAAGGCTATAAGTAATAGCATGCAAAATTCTAAACCCCTGATCATATCAGATAAAGTTAGGAGGTAGGGGTATTTATAGCAACTGGCCTGACCCTATAGATTCTGACACTGTCAGAGGAGCTTTCTTAGTTTTCCTATTCCAATGTCTTATGGTTATGTTCATAACACTTAATACTCTGAATAAACCACATATATTTTTGGCTTGCAAGGGTTAATTTAAATCAATACATTGAGCATCTTCAAAATAAGGTCAACAAGGTTATAGGTTTCACTCAAATGGCAAAGGTAGGAGCAAAAACCAAGTAAAAGTAACAAAATGAATTTTGCAGGAAAAGAACCACAAAGACAACTTTTTCCAATCTCTTTGTTGTCATAGAAGGAGAAGGTTAGATCCAGACAGATAAAGCTATTTGCACTACCTACTTGTCAAATGAGTTTGTCAATTCAAATGCCTGCCATCTGATTAATCAGTATACAGTATACTTTACATAGAAAATTTTAATTCCTTTGATTAGGCTCCTATTCATTAGGCACTAATAATGGATAATCATACTATTACCTATGTGGGCTTAATTCTTATAATTGGGAGATTCATTGTTCCCTGGAAAAAATTGAAAATGGAAAAGAAAGGGGATTCCAATAACATAAAATGTGTACAGTTTATTGTGTGTTTTTTTGTAGGGTGGTAATTATTACAGTAATCAACTATCTGAGCCTATTCCTTTATAATGAGTGGAAGACTTCCAGACTTTATTATTATTATTGGCAATTTTTAATAAAGTTTTTACTATGAAAGGGGAAAATTTCCATTACAAAATTCTGTAATATAAAGGATGAAAAGTCATCCATAGCCCTACCACTCAAAGGTAACCACTATAAAATTTTTTATGCATTTTCTTTCAGAAATTCCATGTAAAAGTTTTTTTTTTTACAACTGCATTAAAAACTAACTTTAGAATAAGCCATTTTGCAAGTATTACAAAATATTCACAAACAACTCAATGGCTGCAAAAATTCTTTATGATTAATATACCCTGATTATTATGAATAATAGTTAATGACTTATAGGGTACAACCAAACTATCAGCATTTGTACCCAATAAAGATCCTAGCAAAATCATTTTTTGTCTGAGAGTCAAGAATATATTTCTTACATTCTTAAGTTAATATTAATTTTAAAATATATTATTGTATTAAGTTGAGAAATCAAGGAGAACCTTATAAATTATTTTTCAGAAAATAAAGCATGAAGATTGTCTTGGTTAAAAAATTTTGTACACATTAGTAATATTAATAAAGCAAATAAAATTAGAAGCTCACTTTCCATTTACCAATAGATTCCACATTGTGATTTGTTTTTACTGACTCATATGTCTTACCTTGTAAAGATGATTTATTGAAGGCAGTAACAGAAGTGGCTACAGAGGAGGGTAAAAGAGGGTAAATTGACTTAAAGATGTTGTTTGTTCAATATAACATCACTGAGCTGAAATAGTTGTCTATAGATTTACATAAAGCACAATCTCAGGATCAAGTGTGAAGTTCCCTATGTTCAGAAGATGTAGTAATTGCCTCTTTTACTAAACTTTTTTCTCTCCTAAAAAAACAGATTCATATTGAGTAAATAAGCTTGCATTTCTCTATTAGACATCATGCAAACCAACATTATCTCAGATTTCCAAATTTTAATACACTAAATTTTTCTCTATAGATTAATATTTCAAACTACTGGTATTTCTATTTAAAGAAATTTTGGAACTAAACTGATGCTTTTTTTTTTTTAAGTCAGTTAATTTTGGGTGCTGACCTTAGGGAAAAAAATAGCAAGAAATTTCCAAATTTGATTGATAATTAGAACTCTGTCAAAATCATGGTGAGTCTACAATAATTCATGCTTGATTAGAATCATAATGAATTTATATGTAAATTTTTGTTTTCTGCTTAAATCTTGTGAATTCAAGCCACAAAGAATTCAGTTAAATTCCACTAAAAAAAAAAGTACTCATAAGTAGATGGAAAAGTATAAAATGTGATGATTTTTAAGAAAGACAAGTTTTTATTTCAATTTCAATAATTAAAATCAAGTTAAAATACATTATATTTTGTTTTCTCTTCTTATTCCCAATACCATGTATTGACTTCTATCTATAGGATCCATTTAAAGTCCCATTATGAACTTGAAAAAGAACTATACATAAACACAATACACACATATACATATATGCACATCCTGTCAAATAAATAAAACAAAAAGTCTTACCTCTGCTAACATCCATGGCATATAACTCTCTTAGTCCCAGGTCATTAAGAGATTTTGTCAAGTCGAGGGGCTCCTGAGACTGATAATCCTTCAACAACAGTGTATGTAACGGATCAAACTCACATTTGCTGCATATAATGGGGGCTAGTTCTTGGAGTGATGCATGAGGGCTCACTCTCACTATCGCCTTCTGCGTTTTCTTAAAATTGATCACAACTCTCACAGTTTTCTGAAACACAGATTAAAGCCATAGTTATACCATAATATACTGAAATAAACATTCTATAATGATGTAAGAAGTCTAAAAGTATATATTCAGACAATACACAGAATTTTATATTTTAGTGTAAAATTTTTATTGATTAATGTTACTTTCTAATCCAAATCAGATTCTTAGAAACAGTTTGCTTATTAAATATAGATTAAATTCACAACCCTTGTAAAGTATTAAGTCAATTTAAATCCAAAAAGAAACAGATACTTTTCCCTTGTTCCTTAAAATATTTACTTTAAAATTAATAAACAGGCATAATAATAGAGTCATGCATGTTTTATTCTATCCTTTATTTTGGAATATTTACTTAATAGTTAGATGTCTAAAAAAAGGGTTATTTGTCTTTAAAACACTAACACTTTTTAACTTTTATTTGAAATAAGTTAAATGAGACAAATCACGCAAATAACTTAGCATAGTGTCTGACACATAGTAAATTACAATAAATAAATAAACATTAGTTATTATTACTATTAATATTATTACTACTTTGGCTAATTTTAATATATTAGTAACTAGTATTAAAGTGTTCCTTATTTATATAGTTAATGCTACTAATTCAAAATTATTGAGATTTTAAGCATCTGATTATTTTAATGCAACTGAATTAAATCCTATATATATATAGAACTTTGAAACATGTGACCATGCTAAGTAAAATAAACAGATTACAAAATTTAACATGTATTCATAAAACTGAAACACCACATAGTATGCCAAGCTATTGCATAAATAATACTATCTCGATATCTAGATAAATAGCAAACATAGAGATATAGTCTAGTACCTGAATTAATATTTAACATTCAATCACATTTTATAGAAAGCAAGTATGCTTTAGGATTGTAAAAAAAAAAATTACCTTTATTTGTAAAAAAAGTTTTTAAAGAAAATGTGAGAATATGTGCATTCAAGTCATTTGTAAATAAACTATTAATATATAAATCTTTATATGTTTCCTGAAGTTAAAAAGGGTAGGTGTTGTTGCTAATGAAAGAGTATTTCTTGAAACCTATAAACTTCTACCTCTATTGCTTATAAAGAATTATATAAATAATTTATGATATTTGAATATTGTGATTAAAATGTTTGCTTAAAATCCATACATTACAGAAAACTGAGCCATCGTATGGCTCAAATGAAAAATAACAGATAAATTAATAAGTTACAACCACCACTTGCCAAGTAAATAAAGCCAAAAATATTTTAATAAATTCTTAAATGAATTTATTTCCTTTTTTTGTTTATTTGTTTATTTAGAAAATCATAGAGATAGAAGTAATGAGCTATGGAGATGTAGCCCTTGCTGCCCAGAAAACAAGGTACAGAGGCAAAATCAGGGGAAAGAGAGAGATGGAGATAAAGATGAATTTTTGTTAAAAAGTTCTAAGACCTTCCTTTACATTTAAAACATGTTTTAAAAGTGTAGATTGAAATACAGATGGTTCATAATTGTCAGATTCTAATATACTGACATATAAATCACTTTAGAGCATCTAAAATCTAAAGTATTGCCCAAATTCTACTTAACTCAAGGATCAATAACCAACTGAATCCTAAGCGAAGGGTTCTATGGAAATATGATAGTCATGTTCAACATCAAATTTGACCAGGAAAGGCAATTATATCTTATTTATAATAAATTGAAGATAATGGTTGGAAAAGCAACTTAGTATGGTAGCCATAAGATATCAAAATACACAGTGAAATTCTTACCTCTGGTATTATAGGTGTAGGTTTTTTCTTATCCAAAACTTTTGGCCTTAAAATTACTCTTTCCACCTCCAACATTCCTATTGGTGTGTTTGGCTTAAATTTTATAGGGTTATTTTCAGCTGACAGCAGATCGATTGTGTGACTTGATGGATTCAAATGATACTGGGCACAGAGGAATATCAACAAGTCCATCATAGGTTTACTGTAAAACAAAAGTAATGCTGAACATTAGACAATTCCAGCTACTGTGTAAGTTGACTGAGGCACTAAGTCACTGTAGGGCCCTATTTCCATGGGTTGAGGTATAGGTTGACGAGTTTTACTTAAGGGTAATCAGGTGGCCACTAATGTTTCCACTAAGATATTTAAATGTCAGTAAAAACAAACAAACAAACAAAAAACCAAACTCTTCTTCAATATTGTAACTAGACATATGAATCTGGCTACTGGCTTTCAGACAGAAAAATGAGGCTAGGAATCTCCCTACTTAGTATGCCAATTTTAATTTAGTACGTCTGTTTTCATATGCACCAAATCCCCACCCTCTTAAATGGAGTTCCCAGGTTTTAGCTTCTCTGGTTCCATTTTTCCAGAGAGGCAGTGTCCCATTAAGAAAGGGTAGTTGTCTGACATTGTGTAGTGTTGGGGCCAAAAATACGTAGTAAAGATTCCCAAACCGTCCCCCATGTTCAGCTCCGTACCTCAACCTCAGCTTTTGGTGTGTTTTTTTTTTGCCCAACCTCAGGCCATTCCAATTTCTATAGGATGAAGAGGTATGCTTTTCAATGATACCCTCACTGCCTTCCTTCCCCCACCCCCCAACATACAAGTGGTATCTTATTATACATCATACATCTATCAGGGAAAATGAATAAAAGATTTGAAGTCTCTCATTAAAAATATGTTCTCTGGAATAAGCTTTCAGTCCTCAAAATATGTTTTCTATGTCTTCATTAGGAGCTTTCACAATATTTAGAAATTTTATGTCCTTCTCTTGACATAACATGCTCATACATAATTTGTTTACAGTCCGAATTTTTGCTTTGGGTAGTACCGGCACATAATAATTTTCACATTTTAGAGGGAGACTAGTATAATGGTATTATTGAAGTTTACGGTAACAGTACTCTATGTAAGCAATTTGATGTTACATACCAATTCTAGGCTTGGAAATGGTGCCTTCTTTTTCTGATAGTAATAAAGGTTAAAAAGGATTAGGAAATGTCTAGGTAAATACAACCCTATATAATAAAAGCATAGTATGCAAATTGCCCCTTTGACAGGGAGTTTGTCTGAGTTTGACCAGGGGGCAGGCAGGCAGGCAGGGGAAGGGATGGAGGCTCTGGCCCACAACAGGTGGCTGGGGGAAGGGATGGAGTACTGGGGACCCTACCAGTTCACAAATTTCATGCACTGAGTCACTAGTGCTATCTAATAAAAGAGTAATATGTAAATTGACTGTCACCCCAACACATAAGATTTCTGCCCCCACGTGGTCAAAGATGGCTACCCCCATGTGGGCACAAGATGGCCACCACATTATGGCTGGCAGGGGAGGGCAGTTGGGGGGACCAGGCCTGCAGGGGAAGGCAGTTAGGGGTGACCAGGCCCACAAGGGAGGGCAGTTAGGGTTAATCAGGCTGGCAGGGGAGTGGTTAGGGGTGATCAGTCTGGCAGGCAGAAGTGGTTAGGGGCAACCAGGAAGGAAGGCAGAAGAGCAGTTGGGAGCCAGCAGTCCTGGACTGTGAGAGGTCTCAGATTGGAGAGGGTGCATGCTGGGCTGAGGAACACATCTCCCCTGCCCCATGCACAAATTTCATGCACTGGGCCTCTAAATACAGTTGATCTGGAAGAATAGAGAACTTTCACAGACAACCTAATGAAACACTGTCCATTACTGTCTCTGAGTAAATGGTTATATGTTAGATTATAGATCTCCTTCTTTCTAAATATAAACGTGTCAAGTAATACATTTAAAAACAAAACTTACATTTTGAACATCGTTTCTTAAAAGTATAGTTCTTTAGAATTTAAAAAACTAAAATATTTAATACTTTAGAAATATATATTACAAATTAATAAGACAAAAGTAGATACTGATGTGAAGTTTGTTTCTGTTTGATTAATCCCTATTTTTTTTCATCATTTGATTCCCTTTTATGTACAAACATATAAACATTTAAGGAAAAACACATTTTCCAATTTTGAAAGATAAAAACAATTTGACACTCTTTATATACACTTATTATTTAACCCTTCTGATATGCCTTAATGAATTATTTATTTATTTTACATCGATGAGAGAGAAACATCGACCAGCTGCCTCCTGCACACCCCCTACCGGGGATGTGCCTGCAACCAAGGTACATGCCCTTGACCAGAATCGGACCTGGGACCTTTCAGTCCACAGACCAACGCTCTACCACTGAGCCAAACCAGTTTTGGCACCTTAATGAATTATTATTTTAATCTGACACATTGATTTTCTAATTTAATAAATAGGGTGGGTAATTGGCCAATAATATTATAAAAATAGCCTACTGCCTCAATCTGTGGATAAAAAGGGGTTCTATGGAATGTTACCTCACAAGTGATTAGACCATAAATTCCTATCTGGACATATATTTGTCTTAAGCCCTGTCCATTGCTTTTATGCATCTAGTTAAACACCTTAAATAAGCATAACTATCTTCAGGAGAGCACATAATCTTAATTATCCTGTAACTCAATCCCTGCCTTGCTTTCTCCCACCTTCATGTAATCCTCTTTAGGTTCCCTCCTTAATTTTATATACATAAAAGAAACTGCAAAGCTGTCAATTCTCCAAAGTATTTGAGATTTTACTTCCCTGTAATTATCACCAGTTGTAGCTTAAATAAACTTTTATAAAAATTCTCCAAAGGTTTAGATATTTCTTACACTGACAAGTCATTGCACACTATACCAGATTTCATGGCAAAAAGTTTTCATGCTGACATAGAGCTATATCCTGACCTTTGAAGTCAACACTACCTAAATGTTTTCTAATAAAAAACACCTCTTCAAAAGGCAACTAATAACCCCAGAACTCTTTCTGACTTTATTATCTTATTCTGTAATTCTAGGTTCAAATCTTTATTCACTAATTCTAGAAGTCAATTTTGTCTTGAAAATGTTCTCACTCCCTGAAAGATAAATGCAGTAGACCAGAAGGTTCTGTCAAACAGACACAAATGCAGATGGGAATTTAATACTACATCTAATAACAGTATTTCAAATATCTGGGAGCATAATTAAATTTTCAACAACTGGTATTGGGAATGGTCTCTTACCACATGTGAATGAGAAAGGAACTATGAAATGAATCTGACAAGCCCGGTGACCAAAGGTAACCTCACAGGGTGACCTGAACATAAATTACTAACTGGGAAGTTCATGAAGGGTAGTCACACCCCATACCTATAACTTCTTTCATAAAAGGTTTATCTTTACCTAGGCCAAGTCCTGTCCCTAGATCTAGTATACTTACCTGTAGATTAACAAATATTTGAAATGCCAGAATAATTCCCTTCCCCAGACCCCTCTAACCATCCTCAAGGGCAACACGATCTTGTTGCCCATATACCATCCCTATTTACAGTAAATGTTCTCTCCATTTTACTTTTTATCCAGTCAGATTTCTCACTCCTCAATCTACCACCAGTGGATAAATTTTTAAAAAGCTCTGCAATTTATTTAGATTTATTTGTATTGTTTTTTTTTACTTTTCTCCCCACTTTTATATTTATGCTTCAGCTTAAAGTGCTGATTTTTATGGAAAATTTCTTGAAGTATGCAATTATTATAATCTGTATATATTCATAAATGTTTATTTTCCTCAAAAATAAAATGATTGTTGCTTTCAAAAAAAGAATATACATATATATATATATATATATATATATATATATATATATATATATATATATATTACCAGTGGATTTCATGTAACCTTCCTTGCTTCCCCTATTTTGATCCCAAATGCATAAAGAGAACTGCCAAACTACCATTCTCCAGAGAATTTTTGAGATCTTGCTTCTAGGCATGTCCTTAGTTTGACTCAAATAAACTCATGAAATTTGTTGTATGTTTGGATATTCTTTTTTTTTTTAATATATATATATATATTTTAAATATATTTTATTGATTTTTTACAGGGAGGAGGAGAGAGGGATAGAGAGCTAGAAACGTCGATGAGAGAGAAACATCGACCAGCTGCCTCTTGCACACCCCCTACCGGGGATGTGCTTGCAACCAATGTACATGCCCTTGACCGGAATCGAACCTGGGACCTTTCAGTCCGCAGACCAACGCTCTACCACTGAGCCAAACCAGTTTTGGCTTTTTAAAAATATATTTTATTGATTTTTTACAGAGGGGAAGAGAGAGGGACAGAGAGTTAGAAACATCGATGAAAGAGAAACATCGATCAGCTGCCTCTTGCACACACCCCCCACTAGGGATGTGTCCGCAACCCAAGTACATGCCCTTGACCAGAATCGAACCCGGGACCCCTCAGTCCGCAGCCGACACTCTATCCACTAAGCCAAACAGGTTTCGGCTGTTTGGACATTCTTAAATTAAACAGTTGAAATACACTGAACTAGTGACTAACAAACTGAATTTTTTATTTCATTTCATTTCAATTCAATTCAATTTAAATAGCCACATGTGGTGAGTGGTCACTATATTGGATGGACAAGTGCATTGATTCTTAAAGTGTGATTCATGACCAGTAGCATCAATATCATTGAGAAGACGCTAGAAAATGCACATTGTCCAATCCCAAGCCAGATCCCTGAATCAGAAAATCTGGGAGTAAGGCACAGCAACATGTGCTTTGACAAGCTCTCCTGCTAATTCCAATGCATACTACAGTTTTTTAAAATAGTGATCTAGAGAGAAAAGGATAAAGGAACAAGTCACATATGCAGAATATCAGATAATGATAAATAGAATTAGGAAAAATAAAGAAGGAGGCTAGGAAATGTTCTAAATAGAAAGAGAACATTAGAATAGAGACCTAATGGAATGAGATATCTGGGGAAAGAATTCAAGGCAGAGCTAACAAATTAGAAGGACCTGACGCAGAAGAGTGCTCTACATGTTTAAGGAAAAACAGAAACCATTCAGCTACGGGGAAGATCTAAAAGCCTGGTGAAAACTTAGAATTTGACTGAGTTA